TCTTTGGTATACTCATTCTCTCTCAACCTTAGGAAGGAGATGATGACAAAAGATGGCCCATCCCCAGTATTGATAAGTCAAGGATCTCAGTCAGTATAAGACAGTTTCATATGTTCCTAGTGTATGGGTATGAAAATGATGTAAGTAAAATTTAGTGATTCATTTTAGCTATAAACTCAACAGGTAACTCATAGGAATTCAGTTTTCCGTCTCTTTGGGCACTTCATTTTTGCAGCCCTTCAGTCACTGCATGATTTTTCCTGATAAAAAGATATGTAACTTGTTCATGTTGAAGTATATCATCCTTTTTTACTGTATCTTTAGATGCCTTACAGACTGTTGTTTAATGATGAGGCATTGCAATAATATTTTAATATGTATTAAATAGGCCATACTCATGAATATTTTACTTTTGTATTTACATATCCCCGTATGTACATGAATTATAGGAGGGCAAAAGGAAAAATGGGTATACTGCCATTTCTTTTATATGGTTCAATTTTCAAACAGAACAGAATTCCTTCAAGGTTTGCCCATGTTCCATGCATGAGTACCATTGAATGTGAATGGAATTAATACAGTGAAAATGCTTGGTGAATTGTACCCTTGCAGTGATCTCAAATGGCTATTAAGCGAATCTTACTTCCCCCATTAACTTTACATGTTGGAAGCCAGATGAGAAGGTTACAAGTGGTGATCACATCACATAACCCCAAATTTCAATACATGCCAGTTGCCAAGTACCCAAATTTTAATGGGGATGCTGCAATGGTTGTAAGTGTGAAAAGTGGTCATATAAGTCATTTTTTTCAGTGCTGTTGTAACTTTGTATGGTCAATAAACAAATGGTTATAGTCAAGGACTACCTATATAATAAATAAATATTTTTGAAGTCAGTCATTGTAAGAAAAATCCTAAAGCAAAAGGCAATCCCCGTATAATTTGTTTTGTGCTTCTGGAGAAAAGGTTGATAAATAAATCTATAAATTATGCAAAAGAATTTATTTAACTTCTGGAGATTCTTCAGTGACTTTCAGGAAGCTTTGGAAAAAGCTGAATTTTATTGTTACTATGGAATTACACAAATATAGCTGCAGGAACTTTATGAAGTATGATCCACATACTTCCACGTGGATCATAATTCATAAAATTCCAGCAGCTATATTTTATAAATAAAAATAATAAGAACTAGCATATTTCCACTTAACATCAGCAGGACTTTTGTCATCTTGCATCTCCTGTACCTGTCCCTGCCAATAACACAAGCAGAAAGAAAAGTACAAAAAACAACAATATATTTGAATAATTTTTATATGAGTTATTTTTTCTTAGTTCATCATTTGAAAACAAAAACATCTATTTAGGCCGCCACAACTTTGAAAACAAATCAAAAGATGCAGACAGTGTCAGTATAGAAATGACATAAACGAACAGATAGTGTATTGTTGTTTTTTCTGAACAAGCTAGAACATTAGCTCAAATATTCTTGGTCTGGAGCAGCTTCTGAGAAGTCTTTTAATACAAGGAATGTTAAACACAAAGTGTTTCCTGGCAAACCTGGCTTTGCTTTGGGAAAGAAAGTGGTCATAGAGCAAACTTAAGAGACAAAGGGAATAAATTTCTGAATTATGGCATTTAAATATAAAGATTCTGAAATCTTTCAATAAATCTATCTCATCATTCTAAGACTCTTAAACAAACATTCTAAATAAGAATTGCAAAGGAGAGCCACAATTCTATTACCATTCCCGTTAAAAGACCACCAAAACTTTTAGTAGAGATGATAATAATTATTCCTCCCATTCTAACGGGTATAAATAAAATAGAACATAGTATGATTCATTAAATTTGAATGACTGGTTCCTCCATTATATTCCTATGTTTGTGGTAAATCAACTCCTTGGTATAAATGTCCAAATCACATAAGTGCTTACTAAAGTGCTGTTAAAACTAATAAAAACAAAAGGATTTTTTTCAATACTTCTTTGCTAAGGATGATAGAGGGTTTCATTCACTTCATATTCTGATACAGGCTTGTAAATAATACAAGTTATGAATCAATATTTGATGTGAATTGGAATCCTCCTATTGTTCAGTACTAGCATTTCTCAGACATTGTAATATACCTCTCTAAAAAAGAATGTTTATATTAAGAATACATGGGACAAAATGCATATATTAGAGTAAAAGAAAGGAAGCATTAGAAAAGGAAAAGTCTAAGAGATACGTGCCTAAAATTATATATAAAGATTATAGAAAAACATAGAAGGAACTAATAACTAGAGAAAATGAAACATTCTAAAAATTTGATAAGTACACATATTTTGTCCTTTATCTATATAATGTGATTATTACCCCCTTATACTCTGGTGAATATAGCAGATAAGGAAGATCTTTGCCTATTCCAAATATCCTGTTTTCCAGGGCTTAAAAATGCTTCAGCTCCCTTTGCCTGCAGTACAGTACTTATCATTTCACTCCTTAACAATGCCAGTCAAATGAGATGATTTCTAAAAATACTTTGTTTTAAGCATAAACATCTGCAGTACAAAAATATCCATATATACAAAAATGCCTATTCATCAATTTCCATCGGAACTTTGCTTGATCAATTGATCTTATGATTTCATACAGAAAAGTTGGTGTAATTAAGAGTAATGCTGGCAGCAGGTAGGATGGGCCAGAGTACTGCATACTTAGTACTTTAAAATTAAAACACCTGTTTATGTCAAGCCTAAAGGTAATCACAGTTCTAACAGATCACAAGCAAGACAGAGAAAGGACTGGAAACCATCTGTTCTGAACCTGGCTAAATACAATGTTTTCATCTATACTAAAAAGGATATTATTTTGTAGGTATAAATTATAACTACAGATAGTTCTTGAGTTCCAACCATTCATTCAGCGACTATTAGAAGTTATGGCAGCACTAAATAAATGGGACTTTTGTTATTTGCCCAAAGTTACAGATTTTGCAATACCCCTGTGGTGGTGTGATCAAAATTCAGGTGCTTGACAGCTCGCCAACCCTTACAAGTACAGGGGCACTTCAACAACCCCCCCCCCCAATCTCCACCTGATCTCTGCCCTTTTGGTTGAACAGCACTGCTTGCCATCCTCTACTTCACTGGAGCTGGCCTGGGGCCTTCAGCAGTGGTCACCACTTCTCCCAGGTTTCTTTTTTAAGTCCAGCATCACTGCTGAAGAGTGCCACCTCAAGACTGTGCAAGGCAAAGCCCCTGCCATCCTATGCTCTACTCTCCCTGCCAATCTGCCAGCCTGCTGCTGACATTCCACTTGTCCTACCACCCTGATGGTTTCCAGCCCTGCGTTCTGCTTGCCTTTTTGGCCTTGGCCTTTTGATCTTTACCATCTTCCTCTTGCTGCTGATGAGGTACATTTCTCACTGTGCCAGGCCTTCTTCCTGAGGCCACTTCCTGAGGCCACATTGTTTTTCAAATTGCACAGAACATTCTCACAATGCTTCAGGAGACATCAGAGGTTTTCCAAGCACAGAGCCATCAGGGTGGCGGGGCTAGTGAGCACCAGGCAGCCAAAAAGGCAGAGGGGGAGGGAATGGTGGTTAGGGGAGTTGAAGAGAAGGCATTCCCTTATCTTGTTGAGGCCCATGGCCAGGAGGCATCAAGCTGGGAGTGGCCTGGACCAGGTTGTTTCCTAACCTAAAATCCGGTAGGATTCAGTTAGCTATGGCAAAGGTGAATGCTGGGATTGCCATTGCTAAGTGATGCATTCATGTAACCACATAACATTTCAGTCCCAATTACCATTATAACTCAAGGACTACCTGTATGCTTATAGGTGCTTTATATAAATGAACAGATACAGTAGGAATACATCTTCAAATATAGTTACATTGAAGTTGCAAGAACATTATACTGAAGTCGTTAAATACATCTTTTACTGTACAACATATTTAGTATTTATAGATATAACAATATATTTTGGGGGAATGGACAAGCTGAAATAGTTATACATCCGGCTATTTTCCAAGCAATTTTGCATTGTCCTTAGTACGATCTGTTTCAAACCACTGCTCTCTAATCCACAAACCACTACGTTATATAATGTTACTATATAATAGAAATCAGGACACAACTCAACCACTTCCTTTGAATGTATAATAAATAATAAGTGAAAGCCAGACTTAGTTGTGCTTATTGTAGATGAAATGCTGATTGACTGAAACCTCTAAGAGGGATACATTTTGAGTTATTCATTTACATGAGCTGAGTCATGTGAAGGATGCAACAGAGAGATTAATGCACCATAACTGCATTCTGACACTTCAAAGATAAGTATTGCTATTTAAAACTCTGTTTCAGATTGTTATATAACTTTGCACATCAAGTAGGGAAAACCTCAGTCACGCTTATTCCAATGTTCAAGCAACAGTGTCTCACAGAGAACTTTTTCAATTAAACTGTTTCTTACAGTTACTTTGATTATCTAATTCATAGACCATTTTGTAACATTGAATTTATACATTATATTATTTGCTTTTGGTGTTGTTTTTGAAAATTAAATATTAATGTTAAAAAACAATAGGTTTTTTAAAAAATAAAGCAACAACTTCAATATTTAGCAAAAGTTAAATATTAATCTAAGCAGAAGTTAAGAATAAAATAGATGAAAATGTATTATTTATAAATATCTTTTTTTGCTTTTATTTGTAAGCTTCTTTGTTTTTGTGTATAAACATTTTTGCTTCAAAATGTGCTGCAAACATTCTTACAGAGCAATCATTATAGCAATGCATTCCATCTAATGGTGATGAATAGAGAACATTTCTCCCTTTTCTAAATTTAGACCTTTAAATTTGCATTTAGCCCCAATACTGTGGTAGTGTTAAAGAAATGCTGAGCAAGCATTTTCATAAATCATAAACATTCTGAACTACATTACACTTCACCTAAAAATGTAGATTATAAGCTTAAAGTTCACACACAACAAAAGAATGGAAACTGGAATTTTAATCCTACCAGTTTGGCTGAGTTGTGAGGTGCTCCTGCTTTTCCGTGAAAGCCCCACGATAGCTACCATTTTTGCACCAATACTGGATCGCCGTTTTTTTCCACCTGCTCCCACAGTGCCCACCGCTGTATCAGACTGGCTGCCATCGTTCTTCTCTAGTGTATACATCTCCCCACTGATGCTGGTGCTTTTAGTTATGTTCTGTCCTGAAGCGCCAATCTGTCTGCTTTGCATTTTAGATGTGAAAACACTGTCAGCCAAGACGATGGATAGACAATGCCATAAAAGAAAAAATAAAGACAGTAAAGGAAGGTTTCAGACCGAAGGTTTGGGATGACTATTGGGAGAAGCAATTTAATTCACACAGAAATTGGTTTGTCACCGAAGTTGAAAAGATCAAATTTCTTTGTAGTTGCTTGTACAATAGTTATTGTTTTGTCTTGTCACAAAACTTATTTGTAAATTTTACCGAAACGCTATGGCATTGCTATTATGGTACGCTAAAACAGTAATCTTATAACCATATAAGAAATACATTGTGTATGTTTTTATAATTGATTATTCTAATATATGAATATCAGTTAGCCACTGATGGCATACAGATAGTCTTCGACTTATGATCAATCGTTCAGTGACAATTCAAAATTACAACGGTGCTGAATAAAGGGATGTTGTGAAGTTCTGGCTGTTGCAATGTGCCTGCAGTCATGTGATCAAAATTTGGGCACTTGCCAGCCCTTTTGCACTTACAACCTCAGCGGCACTGCAACTCCCCCATCTATCTATTTGCCCCCATCAGTGCCCTTTTGGCCCCCTGATACCCAGCCATCTTGTTGCCATCTTCTTGCTCTGGCTGCTAATGAGGCATGCCCAGTCTAGCTGCTTAACCGTATGAGGCTGGTTCTGCCTAGGGATAAAGCACATAGCAATCGTACTCCTGCAAATGGGGATTTCTTTGCAAAGACTTCCTGGGTAGGGCTGGGGTTGCTTTGTGCTGTGAAAAAGAGGGGAAAGGCTGCTTTTGGCTTTCACTCCCTCCCCTCTTTTAGACTGCAAAGGCAGCCCCATACGGTGCAGGAGCACAGTGCAAAATGGCATTTTGGTGCACTGCAGCACTTTTAAGCTATTTTGTACTTTATTCCTTTTTCACTGCATGAAGCCAGTTCCACATGAGCTAGCACTCAGTCCAGGCAAGCCTCATAAGAGGCAGGAGCATGAAGATGACAGTGGAGGTCAGCTCAAGGTGTGGAGCACAGGGCAGCAATTGGAAGTGGGGTGTGACAAACAGTCACAGAGCCACACAGTTCTGGGTCTGCTAACTTCCCTGCAAGAGAAGCCAAAAAGGCAGAGGAGGAAAGAGGAAGGTGGGTGAAGGGAGTTAGAGGAGCTAGGAGGGACCAACCTGTCCAATCAGTCATTCTTGTTTAATGGCAAGATTCTTGTTCAATGCTAAGGAAACATGCTAAGGAAAATATTGTTGCACAAGACAAATAAAATAAGTATATTATCCATGAAAGTAATTTTTAACATTATATGTGTATTCAGTCATATAATGTGCATCCTAATCTATAGTCTAAACTGCTGCTTATTCTACTTATTCTTATAAATAGTTGAATAACTACATGTTATTTTTATTATATTTATCTTGGCACTTCTCAGCGAACAATCCCTGATAAAATATTTCATTATTTTGCTCAAATATCTGTAGTCCAGTCCCTTGGAGATGAAGATATATATATATATAATCTGCTAAAACCACTGATCTCTGGAACAAAAAAACTTTTATTAATAACTAAGCTTTTGTCAAACCACTGTTGATGTTGTCAAAGTGTGAGCTAGTATCTGGAGATGCTTGTTCTTATAGCTGGTTAGATGTTAACAATCTAGTCATTGAGCACGTCACAGGTCTACCCGCCCCTCGCTCTCCCATAGTTAACTGTATTGATCCTGGTTCTGCTGCGCTGTGTTGGTCAGATAGCCAGGCTTCACCAACACTCTATTAAATGGCACATGGAATTACTACCAGCATATCAAGCGCGGAAACATGAACAGTCGCATAGAGAATCAGAGCGAATGAACCGTCGACCACCTCCCTTCCGGGTGAGTAGGAGGATAAAAGATCTGCGTCCCTTACCTATGGAACAGCAGGGCGTCACAACGAGTGGAGATATGGAAGTACAAACAGGACCCATCACAAGATCAAGGGGAAGACAGCAGACCAACATGACCAGTGCGATGCACATGGCGGGAGGACTACCAACCGGCGCGGCTGTGTGGCATGCCGACGGCATGGCCAGGCGGGACAGCAGGAGGACTGCTCCGGCAACAACACCGGATAGCTGCACGCTGCAGGATAGACGTGACCGGCAGGCAGGGTGGGCGGGAGGAGGGAAAACGGCAAAACTGAAGCAGATGCCGGCCAGCACAGCAGAACCAGGATCAATACAGTTAACTATGGGAGACTGAGGGATGGGTAGGCCTGTGATGCGCTCGATGACTAGATCGTTAACATCTAACCAGCTATAAGAACGAGCACCTCCAGATACTAGCTCACACTTTGACAACATCAACAATGGTTTGAGGAAAGCTTAGTTATTAATAAAAAAAATTGTTCCAGAGATCAGTGGTTTTAGCAGATTTTAAATGAGTATACCTGGGACTCAAGTTTTTAGAACAATTAAGGATATATATATATATAATGTGAAATAAAATAAGGTGATCACCAGGATGAAATCATAAACACAAATGTTTAATCTACAAAACCAAGCTTTCGTTGGCCACACTACCAACATCATCAGGGTATAAAATGCTGGATCCGGGAGTCCATTTTTATGTGGCTGGCTGCCTCTGTGCTTTGACCCTGGATCGTGTCATTGGTCCACTCATTAGCATCGGCTGTGTAGTTATTAAAGGGGCCGTTTTTAAAGTTGTCCTCCCCTCTCCAATTGCTGTTGTTTTCTTTGTGCATGTACCGAGGGGGCAATGAGGGTAACAAGTAGTGGAGCCATTCCAAAGACACGCCCGGTTAGCAACCCATTAACACACACAGGAGCTCACCCGTTAGCGAGAGAGAGAAGGGGGGGATAAGAAACAGGAACAACAAGACGACCAACCCCCAGGAGTTTACACACGGGCAAGGAAAGCAATAGGGCTGGCAAATAGAAGAACGGAGCTTGAAGCACACACGCTAGACAGTGCAGCAATATGGAGGCAAACTAAGACAAATGAGGGGGTGGGGAGAGATGACTGGGAGCGGATGAACAGCGGATCTCTAGGCACCCGCACATGCACAAAGAAAACAACAGCAATTGGAGAGGGAAGGACAACTTTAGAAATGGCCCCTTTAAGAACTACACAGCTAATGAGCGGACCAATGACACGATCCAGGGTCAAAGCGCAGAGGCAGCCAGCCACATAAAAATGGACTCCCGGATCCAGCATTTTATACCCTGACGATGTCGGTAGTGTGGCCGACAAAAGCTTGGTTTTGTAGATTAAACATTTGTGTTTATGATTTCATCCTGGTGATCACCTTATTTTATTTCACATTATGTGTATACCCGGGATTCGTGTTTTTAATGCTATTAAGTTATGTTATGTTATGCTATTAAGTTATGTTATTATAAGTTATGTTATGTTGCATTATTAATTCAATTTTAATTTACTTTTGTGGGAAAAACAAGAGGAGGCTGTGTAAGCTGCCTTGACCTCCTGCAAGAAAGGCAGAATCTATATCTAACAGATTGGTTAATATTTTGATTATCTCCAATAGGCCTTTACTTACAAAGAGAAAACGTAAAGATAAGAGTGATCTGAAAAATGTGCTAATATGAATATGCACAAGTGCACTAGAGCTACTTTGAAATGAATAGTTTGAATTCTATTGTAGATAAGCATACTCAGTGTATTTAAGAGTGTAAAACACAGTTAAAAATTTGATTTCCTTAATACCTCAACCTATAATGGAAACAAATAATATTTAATTCTTTGTTATTCAGAATTGTTATAGTGGATATTTATGTAGCCCAATTATATTTATAATGTTAGATTACACACACACACACACACACACACACACACACACACACAAATTGAAGCTTTCTATAAGAGAAATACTGTATATTAAGCTAAATTGAACATAAAAAATCAGTTCATTCAATGAAATTGGAGCATAAAAATGTCATAAAAATTTTAAAAACTATTTTCACTATGTTTTAAATTTAAGGCAACAAACCATCAAAAATACATGAAATAAACAAAATCATAATACAAGCTTAGGTAACATGATATACTGCTGATTAATGTTATTAAATAAATTGAAAGCTTGCGGAAAAGATTTCTGTAATTAGCAAGTATGATGGAAGTAAAAACTTAATATATATTGTTATATATTGTTATATATAACAGTGACTAAAAAACAATGACTCTGATAATGGATTTAGAATAGGGCAGTGGTGGGATTCAGCCAGTTCGCACCACTTCGGCAGAACCAGTTGCCAGTTGCCCAGGCCCAGAATGGACTTCCGGAAGCGGCATCCACACAGAGAACTGGTTGTTCACATATTTGAATCCCACCAGTGGAATAGGGTATGGAGAGCCTTTAAATAACTAGAAAAACCATTGGGAAAGTAAGTAAAATTAAAGCAGTACTCATAATTAAACATATCCTTTTTTGTCTTCTACAAAAAATATGGTAATCTCTATTAACAAGTTATTTTGTATTATTGTTTTAAGTTAAGTCAATTGTCAAGAGCAGGCAGTATTATGCCAGGATCAACTGAAGATAGATGTGGGTTGAATTTTGTTTTCATGCTGTTATCTAAACTAGTTTCATCTATGGATATTAGATGTTAATCGCAATTTCCAAAACTATATAGGATGAAACAAAATTATCCTTTAAACTCCAGTTTTCCAGATTTTGCTCAAAACATACATATGAATGGTTATTTTAAAAGCTGCGAACAAAACCCAATAAATATAAATGTAAAATACAGGAAGACAAGAGTATATACAATGTTTTACATTTAAAAAAACTCTGGAACTACAGTGAATGAAAATCATGCAAAACAGAATGCGTGTAACAATCTTACAGGTTTTTTTCTGCACACTGATTGAGTGATTTATTTTCCTAGGCTGAAACATTTGGCTCTTGCTTTTTCTGCCTTCTGGATTCTTATGATCTTTTGTCTCCTGAGAAATACTTGGCCATATATGCCTTCAAAATTTCCTTCATACCTTTGTTCATTTCTTCTCTCCCTTATGCTGACCAATAGTCATACTCTGCTTTTAAATTCCCAATCCCAGCATTATGAATTCCTTTCCAGTTATTTCTACAGCCAGATCTCATGCCCCAGAGATTTTGTTCTGAGTAAAAATAGTACAATCAAGCCCAACTACTTTTTTATTACTATTTCTATATTTTATTATTTTATTTTATTTTTTATTTTATTTGCTGCCCATCTTACCATAGGGTAACTCTGGGCAGCTTACATATACAATTAAAACATAAAAAGTTAAAATCATACATAAAAACTAAGGGCATATGGGGAGGGTGGGGGTGGGGTGGGTGAGGAGGTAAAATCTGTTATTACTCAATCAACCACTTCCATTGTGCTGTCCCCCACTATTTTAATTGTTGTATGCCGCACAGAGTAGCTATTTGTGAGATGGGATGCCATAAAAATTTGATAAAAAATATAAAGAAATTCAGTAGTGAAAGAAAGGTTTGTATTTTGCCTGGGTGATCTGAAAAAGTTCTCAAATGTGGTTCATCACTCTGAAAGGAGATACCAACCGGATGCAACCATGTTCAGACTTGAACCCAGTATTCTACAACACCTTTATTAATGATTTGGATAAAAATGTGAAAGTACTAGTTATGAAATTACTAGAAGACATAAAACTCAGTGGGATAGTTAATAGCCTACAAGACAGAAGTAAAATTTAAAATAATCTTGATAAATTGGAAAAATGGATAAAAGCAACAGACTGAGATTTAATCAAACTCTTCACTTAGGAAAAATAAATCAAGTATAGGACAAGAGATCCTATATTATTAATAATATTTTAAAAAATATTTTGTGATTGCGGTAGAATGGTGTGGCTAAAAAAATACACACACGATTTTAGGTTATACCTATAAAAATCTATTTTCCAAATCACATTGTCATGCTTGTGCTGGTCAGTATTAATATTGTATTTACAGTTCTGAGCAGTAAAATGTCAGAAAGTTTCAAACAAAATTGGAACAGGTTTAGAAACCAGCAACAAGGATCGTCCAGCATTGGAAACTAAACCCTTTAAGGAAAAACTGAAGAATAAGAGAGTTATGTTAACATTCTCCAAATATCTGAAAAGAATGTCATGGAAGACATTATAACAGATTGTAGGACACCAAATAGTGTATTTCAGCTACAGAAAAGTTTCCAATTAAATGTTAGGGGAAAAACAGTAAAGTCTAGTTGAACAGTTGAACCAGTTAGCCAGAAAGATGATTGGTTCATTTTCAATAGATCCATTCAAGCATCCAAGATATTTCAGTTTTAATTACTGCACTTAACGGGGTTTTGGATTCCGTGCCTAAATGGCTTCCTAGAGGAACTATGATTCTGTGATTTTGTGAAGAGGCTCATGTTCAGAAAACAAAACCTGTAATAATATCTCCATTTCTGAAAGTTTTAAAACATATAATACTAATAATAGAATTAATACTATTGATCAAAGTATCTCCCCCTTCAGATAAGAATAGAATTTTATAGCATATTCCCTCAGTTTCCGCAAGATTCGGCTCATACATTAAATAATGGATGGCTTGAGTAACCCATTATTATCCTCACTGATAAAATTATTCCCTTATGAGAACAAAAATGAAAAATATATTGTCTTTTCTTCACATGGTTTGTATTAATGACATTTAAGACCATTCATATTGATGTTCATTCTGCCTAAAGAATTCTATCTACACAGCTCCAGAATGTTATATTTATATATCATGAAATATGTTGGTATGACAGAATTCTGTTAATATGACAAAAATCTAAGAACTAGATAGCCTTTCTATATTTATCTCATGAATTCCAGCTTAATGTGAATCAAGATCAATCAATTGTTGGCCTTAATTTCTATATTATATCACAGTGGTTCTCAACCTATAGTCCGCGGACTCCTGGGGGGCCAGGATGTCATTACAGTGGGTCCACGAAGACTTGAAGAAAGATTATGATTTAAATCTTGAGTTAGGTCTTGGTGATCTGTGGCCAAGGTCCATGGCCACAAAAGGTATTTAGAGGAGGTCAATGGTGAAGAAAAGGTGGAGAACCACTGCTATACAAGATGGGTAATATTTCTGTAATTTGTTATTTCTTAAAATAATTTAACGAAATAGAACATTGGTTGACTATTAAAATACTAAGGTAAAATTTAATGATGGACACAAAAAGGAAACATAAAGATACTACTGCAAATGATAGAACTCTCTAATAAATAGAAATCTAATTTTACCTGAGATCATCCTGTGAATATCTCCTTTGCAAATCCTCTTTATTGTTTGTTTCTGTTCCTTCCTCAGTTATCTCCTCTTGGGCCCCTTCATTCTCTTTTGCTTCTTTATCTTCCTCATCACAGTTCTTTGTCACCTCCTCCCCTTCCCCCTTTTCATCATCTTGTTCATCCAACTTTTTCTCCAGTTCCTGATTCTCCTCTTCTTTCTCAAGGAATACTTCCCCATCCCCTTCCTCCCATCCCTCTTTTCTTTCCTCGTGTAATCTTCTGAGGTAAACAAAAATTGAGGAAGCATGCAAGTAAATAAAAAAGAAGACAGAAGCCAGTTAGGAAAGCTAGACAGAATCAAAACTTTTTACTGAGCTGAGGGTGGGGGAGGACAGCCACAAAATAAATGCTAAATGACAATGATGAAAGAAAAAAAATCATGCAGCCCAATTCTACGAACTAATTAAGATAGAGTCTTACTATTTTTAAGAGTAGAAATGGCAAGAAGACTGTAGAATAACATGAATGACAAAAATGTCTGTATAGATATTCTTTAAGATGCAGGACAAAAATATTTATGGATCTTTCTGCATGTGCTGTACACAAATACACATCTGTAATACTGCTCTATGTATTTGTGGAATCTATAACCACTACCAACATTAAATATTATCTTGTCTGCAGGAGGAATGTTAAGGTTCTTACAGCTGCACACATAATGCATCATGAAGTTTACAGTATCCTGATTCACTTGGAAGACAATTTGGTTCACTTACAGCAGAATTAAAGCAATACTGAGGAGGGAAATTTTTAGAAGTGGCCTATTTTAGGAATATCTTTATGAGGTTTACACTACCATGACATAGATTTATGATTAAGATCCATAGATCCTACTATTATAATCCAGAACATTTATTTTAAATTGCCCTATACTGTGGAGTTTTAGTAAATAGTTTGTTTTGAAAGTAAGTAACTTACATACTTTCAAGGAATCTGAACATAAACAAATACAGAAGGCTACACTGAAATTTCAGAAAATGTACCAGAAGAGATGATACTGGGATCCAAACAAGATTAAAGCTGACTTGTAATTTCTTACCTAATTTTCTTGTTTCCTCTTGGCCGTTCTGATTGCACAGACATATAACTAGTGCTGCTAAAACGGGATGCACTACTGGTTCTCGAGACTGCTGATACATCGCTGACATCACTGTCTGAAGACTTGTTGGAGACATTATCAGATCCTCGTTGAGGATCCCGCCCGGGACGATACTGTAATACAAACGAACTATGATGTTCAGGGTAGCCTTAAAGATATCCTGTTTTTTAATAATTCACTATCCAAACTTTTTATTTCTCTGAAGACGGTGATTATTTTTTTTAACATCTCAATATTCCCCAATAGCTAAGATTTAATTTACCTTAAACATCTCAAATATTTTTCTTTAATGTGCTCAAAGCAGCTTGTGTGGTGTAAAAATGCAATTAACAGTAAAAATAATATTACATAAAATGAAAGCTATTTTAAAGGAAGTGTATGAAGGCCTGCAAAATCTGAACCAACGTGTATGTCAATATAAAATTCTTGTTGCAATTTTTTTCATACATTTCATAAAAACTGAGACAGTCTTTTAGGTTATCATTGCCTTCATTCAATAGTGAGATATAACAGTTAGGGAAAGTCATATTTAGTTATAACAGGGACTTTGGAAACTGTATTGTTTATCTCTTGTATGCAACCAACCAATTTAATTTATTCTATAAACAACAGTTAAACAAATATGTCAATAAAAGATTATATTAATTTTACAGCAAATTTTCACAGTAAATAGGCATTTGCATCCAAGCTCTGAATCTTAAATAATATATACTTTATATACTTTATTATTCCATGGGGGTGCATTCATATATTAGGATTGGTGAATACCTTTTCCCCAAACACATTACAATATGGCACTACCAGATGGCTGGAGAATTTAGAAAGAGGGAACTAAAACGAACAGTACATAAATTATTCTGATTGTTTGAAACATTTGAATTTTTTGCCAGGAAATGTATTGAGAGAGACTTATGAAATCAAGAAAACTATAGGAATATCAGAGAAAATGTTTTTGTACCAATGGAAGGACAACCAATGAAGATAATAACTGGCCAACTCCTTTCCAGGAGTTAATTTGTGAAATATGTTGCAACAAAATATTTGGATAACTTTAAAATAAGAAATGATTAGATAACAAAGATTCATGGCTGGCATATGGGCCATATTACCTAACTGGAATTTCCATGTTTACAGGCACTTACTTAATTTTTTCATATAAACAAAAAGCCTGATATTGATTTTAATCAATAATATTAACTCTTCTTGATTCTAATACTATTGTTTTTCTTATTTTTTTAATTTTGAACTTTAGAGCCATGCTGGGTCTTGTATACAAAGAAAGTGACATATAAACTTAAATCTATAAATCCACAGCAGTGGAGAAAAGGCATGAAATTTAGAAAGAAATACAATGACAAATATCTTCATAATCTCTAAATTAGTAATGCTAATAAAACATTTTAAAAAACTAAAAAATAAGAAACCGGATTAAATTATATGTACAGCATTATATTGTATTTATTATATTTAAATATATTTTAATGTGCACTTTCTGCATACATTCTGCATGGCAGCGAGAACTTAAATATTTTAATCTCAATATTACATATAATATAAAAGTATAATCTAAATAGTTTAGTTTATACTAAATGTACAGATATATAAATATATATTCTAAAAATAAACAAATTGTTATAAAAATTTGGAGACGAATTGGCTTTAAAAATGAAATAAAAATTTCAGAGGATAACAAATGATTAAGGGAAAATTTGTTATTTTATCACTTTCCCACTAGACTAGAATGAAGGTATATTAGATATATTAATTTAAGAAGGTTGCTCTAGATTACTTTCTACTCAAAAGCATTTATAATACAAGACAAAATAAAACTATATGCAATATTGCATTTATTAAAACTTTTCCCCTTATTTGTGACAGATTCTAAAATTGTATAGTACAATTTCCACTTGTTTGCACTCAACAGGATTTTGATCAAGCAGGAACAAGACAGTTTTCAAAACTTCAAGAAATGTGAGATTTTTTTTATACAGTAGCATTATGCGTTATTGAAATGGTATGAAGAAAAGGTTTTTATCTGGCTCCTTTAAACATTCTCATAGCTATTTAATTTATAAACTCTTTTAAGGGTTTTTTTTCTTCTGAAATGTGTGGAGATACATTGCTTTCAATAGTCTGAATTCAAATAACCTATGTTCAGCTTAGTAAATACTGTCCGTACTGACATTCATTTTATCATGTTATAAATCTTATATGCTATAAGCCATATAATCTTCTAATAAGTTTTCATTGAATTTGCATTTATTGGACTGGTTCCAAACTTGTATTATAAAAGAGAGCACCATAAAATAATAGAGCTGACTGTAGTAATAATTGTAGCAGACCCACAGGAATCAATATTATCTTTAATCCATTGATTTTAGTCCATTATCTTCAAGAAACTTTGCATTAACTACATATTCAGTAATCATTAATACTTGTTACTTGTACTTTACCATATTTCTTCTGAATGTGTACATTATTATATCACATATACCTCTGAAAGAAAAATGTATTATTTAACGTTCTGAAGACAGAAATTACTAGTTAAACCTGCCCTAGCTAAAAAGTTTAAAAATAGCCTAGTGTATTTTTAATAACAAATGTACTTCAAGCATTTCTTGCTTTTGCTAAAAACAATTCATGCTTTATCCATTATTTCATGTTTTGTTAAACCTGGATTAAAGTTGTTTAAACCACATCTGGGAATCCTATCACTGTTACAGATATTTAGTAAAATACAGTTGGTCCGTATAACCATTTGTTTAGTGACTGTGTTACAGTAGCACTGAAAGTGTGACTTATGACCATTTTTCACACTTATGACTGTTGCAGCATCCCCATGGTCACCTGATTAAAATTCGGTAGCTTGGCAATGGGCCTGTATTTATGATGGTTGTAGTGTTCCGGGGTCATGTGACCACCTTTTGTGACTTCCAGAAAGCAAAGTCAATGTGGAAGCCAGATTCATTTAACAACCATCTTGCTAACTTAACAACTGCAGTGATTCCCTTAACATCTATGACAAGAAAGGTCATAAAATGGGGCAAAACTCACTTAGCAACTGTCTTGCTGAACAGTGGAAATTTTGGGCTCAATTGTGGTTGTAAGTCGAAGACTACCTATAATGGGAACCAATGCCATGAAAGTACCTGAAACTGATAGGAAGCATTGCAAACTGGAAACAATTAACTATTGCTAGTGTTTGAAGGCAATAGAAATAGGGAAATATCAGCAACTGTATTGAAGTGAATAAATACTCTTTGAAAGGGGTGAGGGACAGAATTATAGCAACAGAAACCATGTATCAATATATGGGTCAATTTGAATCAAAGTGGTCCTCTACATTAAAATTGAAGAGCTCTCTCTCAACAGAGGGGGAGGGATACAACACCACCTATCTCCAGTTTACAACATGGTCCTTTCAGCAGTTCCAAGAAGGTTCCACACCCATTTGCACTATTCCAGTGACTAAGGGCACAAACTCCAAGTGGCCTCAACGGCTCTCAAAAAGAGTGCTAATGACCAGATGACCACAAAGAATATATGTAAATCCTTTCATCCTCCACCATTCAGTCAAAACTAAAGAAGTTTCTTGGATGAGAAGCAAAACATCTTCAAGGAAAAAGAAAATCCAGTTGCCTTTTGAAAAAAGCACCTTTGGGATTCTCTTGCAGAATTAGGTTTCTCAATGGATTCTGAATGAAAATGCATAAAAATGTGACAAGGAATATCCTACTAGTAACATTTTCCCCTTTTGGTCAGAAAATATACATAATTGTAAACAATTTTTGAATCATAACTTTTTTTTTTACAGATGGCTACCTCGGAATAACTTGAAATACAAACAATATTTTTCTGAACCATTTATGTCATAGAACCTTTTGCCTTGAGAACATTTTATTTTATATGCTGCTAAAAGCCAGAGTATTCTAATATTTATTCTAATTTTAATTCTAATATTTATTAATATTGCTTAGCATGTTGAATGATAGGTAGCAAATATATGTATTTCCTGATAATAGAATAATGTTTCTATTTTCTTTCTCTCTTTTTTTGTGCAATTTGGATGTCCCAAGAAACATTATTTTGCTTTTTTTGTTGTCATTATTTATTTTGTTCGAGGAGCTGTATTGTGCTTGGTCCTCCATTCTCATGGTACTTGTATATAAAAAAAAAAGTTTTGCTGTTTATTTCCCCCAAGAATGTTTAGAAATGATTTTATACCAAAAATACTTTTGATCATCATTTACAAGTCTTTCTTTCTCTCTTTTGCCTCAAAAGGTAGATTACTACAAATCTGGTGTTTTTAGTTTTAGAAGCAGACTTCATTTATTACTTGTACAAGATGGCTTCACAATATATCCCATTGCACCTACACTTTTAATTACTTACAAAAATGAAGGAAAGCCCTTTATAGGGGAAAAAAAGGATACTTTCATGAAGTCTAAAATAATAAATTAATAATTTAATAAATAGGAAACTTCTCCAAACTAATTGTTTACTAGATAATTTATGATGTTATATGTTTGGGGGGGGACTGCATTTATAAAATTTATTTGGCTAGGCTAAAATTCAGGGGGATTTATTCCTATTTTCCATGCACACACAAAGACTCTATTTCTAGCCACTGGGATATGCTGTTTGATAGAAGAAAAAGAACATGCAGCTGAGCATGAAAATGTTGTGACAGACGACTGTTGGAAAAATGAAACCTGTTTTCTTTCTTCCTAGATAACAGTACAACCTTACTGAGCAGAGGAAGAGTTATCATATGAAGCAAGACAGCTGAGCATAGCCCATCCATAGGGAAGTTCAATAACCATGTGATAGATGCTACTGTCATTGATGCTAGTGGTGGGGAAAGACTGATCCCTCAGAACAGATTGTGAAGGTCTATGCGTCTTCCTAATGATCCACTTCAGTAAGATTAGTAACTGACCCAAAGGACTTACCGGTAGATGTGAATAAATTAGTAAAGGTAAAACCAGACAAAACAGAAATCCTTTCTACTAAAAGCCTATTACTGTATAGAAAAAAAAAGTTTATTCCAATTAAATTTTCCTTTAAAACGAGAATGACTTGGGAGATTATTATTAGATAATCAGCTATTAAT